ACTGAGGACTACGCTGGCGGCACTTGGGTTTGCTCCTTCCACTGCAGACCCGTCGCTGTTTCTGCGCACCGACACCTCTCTGCCGCCGTTCTACATCCTCGTGTACATCGACGACTTGGTCTTTGCCACAGCTGACACTGCTGGACTGGCCTACGTGAAGTCCGAGCTGCAGAAGAGACACACGTGCACTGACCTGGGTGAACTGCGCAGCTACCTTGGCTTGCAGATCACCCGGGACAGAGCACGCCGCACCATTACCCTGACTCAGTCACACATGGTGCAGCAGGTCCTTCAGCGCTTCGGCTTCACGTACTCCTCGCCTCAGGCCACTCCTCTGTCTACTCGCAACTCGCTCTTAGCTCTGCCTTTGGATGAGTCCGTAGAGTCGAGTGGCCCGTATGCAGAGCTTGTTGGCTGCCTCATGTACCTGATGACCTGCACACGACCTGACCTTGCATACCCTCTTAGCATTCTCGCACGCTATGTTGCTCCTGGGAGACACCGACCAGAGCACATGGCTGCAGCGAAGAGGGTGTTGCGCTACTTGTGCAGTACATCGGGCATGGGGCTAGTGCTTGGAGGGCGCAGTCCAGTGGTCCTCACTGGGCACGTGGACGCTTCTTGGGCTGACGACCAGGCTACGCAGCGGTCGTCACAGGGTTACACCTTCAGCCTTGGTTCCGGCTCTGTTTCGTGGCGGGCTACCTGCTCGTCTTCTGTTCTCGGCTCCAGTTGTGAGGCTGAGATCTACGCCGGGGCTATGGCTGCCCAGGAGCTTCGCTGGCTCACCTACCTGCTGACCGACCTTGGAGAGTCGCCTCGTTCTCCTCCAGTTTTGTACGTAGACAACAAGGCCATGCTGGCCTTGTGTCGAGAGCAGCGTTTGGAGCACAGGACAAAGCACATTGCTCTCCGCTACTTTCTTGCTCGTGAGGTACAGCAGCGTGGACAGTTGCAACTTGCGTACGTGGCCTCTGAGGCCAACACTGTTGATGTCTTCATCAAGGCACTTGCGCCTTGTGATCATCAGCGCTGCTGCACGAAGCTGGGTCTTGTGCCTGTCTTGCCTCACTTGCTCACTTCTTGACCTTGCTTGTACCTTCACCTATATATACTCTTGCTCTTGCTTGCTTGACTCTTGTATATCTCTATATGTGATCTTGTATGTGAACTGGCCTTCTGGCCTTTGAACTTGTGCTCGGAATGTGTGGTGACTTTGTGATCCACCCTGAGCTTTGCTTTGCTTTGCTTGACTGGTCTTGTGACCCCTTGTTCTCCCCCACTTTGCCTATGGGGGTGTGTCAGAACATTATAGCTTACTTATTTGTGTACGCTATAGTGGGGTATCCCATAGGGGGTACAACCCAATTAGGGTTTCCTATTTGTTCTCACTCCGTTCATAGTCATTTCATTCTCGTTCTAACATTCTCATCCCATCCTTCGGTTGTGTTCCAGCCGGTGGGATGTTCGACAGGCGGCCAGTAAGCTTGCGTTCTCGTTGGCTCGAGTGTTTCGACTGCTATTCCTGATGTGGTCTCCTCTCCTTCTTCCACTGCTTGTGGTCCGGTCTCAACAGGGTTTGTTGTTGACGCGACGGGTACGGCGAGAGCGCGGAAGGTGCCGTCGAGGCCAGGTTGCTGATAGTCGGTTTCTTCTGGGTGGCTCCATCGTGGTGGCAACGGATGGCCCGGAGGGTAAAGAACAAGGACGTGTTCGTTGTCGCCAGTGGTTCTGGGCGACTTGAAGTCGAGCACGAAGACACCTTCCACACTTGTTGCCTTCGCGATGAAGATGCCGTTGTATATTAAGTGCATTTCGTCTTCTATTGTTTGCAAGCCAACTCCGCACTTCATCAGCTGGTGGAGAGATAGAAGATTGTATCGAAGCTCCGGCACGATGAGGACATCGCTGATGTGGATGCAGTAACCGGTGTCATGTGACTCCAGTTGAATTTGGCCGCGAGCTCTGGCGTAGATGGTTTGGCTGTTGGCAACAGTGATCTCCACTTCGTTGGAGAGTCGCTCTCTGTTGAGGATGAAGACATCTGAGGACACCATATGTTGACCACAGCAGCTGTCCAGGTACCATGTGTTGACCTCCTTCCTTGTTTTGGCCAGGTTGGCGAGCTTCGGAGTGATCATTTTCGTAGTCGTAGTAAGCTTTTTTGTCATCGCTTATGATGCGTGCAGGTAGTGACTCCTGAATCCACTCCGGTGCTTCCCAATCATACTGCATCCGTCCAACCGTTAGCTCGTCATAGGTTGGGTCGTTTTCTTCTTCTTCTTCAATTGATCCTTCGGGCCGCTCCTGAGGCGGGTCTGCGAACATATCTTCCCAGCTTCGGAAGAAGAGGTAGTGTCGGCTGGGGCGAGGTGGTCCACGACGCACCATGCATGTTAAGACCTTGCTTTTCCCCTTGTCGCTTGTGTTCACAGAGAGACGTGCCGGGGCTTGGGACGTGCTGGGGACAGCTGGCGGTGACACAGTTTGGTTGCGCGCTGCGGCTCCTCCTTGCTGGTGAGCAGCGCCACCCTTCTGGTTGTTGTTGTTGCCGTTCAGCTTCCAGCAGTCTTGAATCGTGTGTCCGGTCTTCTTGCAGTACTTGCAGAGGAGTCTTTTCTTGTCCGTTGGCGCTTGAGCATAAAAGGCAATTTTCTCCTTCTTGTTGCCTCGTTCGTTGTACAGGTCGATTTCCTTCTGCTCGGAGAGAATTGTGGAGCAGAGGGCAGTTTCTCTCAGAATCCCAGCCACTAGACCACTGGGATAAAAGGGCTTGTTTAAGTAGCGGGTGAGTGCGCCCATAACCCCCCAGGCAACCGTGCCTGTAACCCTTCCCTAGGATCAATCGGGGATCACCAGTGGACCTCTGACACCCCCCCTCACTGGGATGCCCGAAGTGCACATACCGGGATTCGAACCCGAGACCTTCGCTCTGGATACCATCTCAGAATCCCAGCCACTAGACCACTGGGATAAAAGGGCTTGTTAAAGTAGCGGGTCAGTGCGCCCAGAACCCCCCAGGCAAACGTGCCTGTAACCCTTCCATAGGATCAATCGGGGATCACCAGTGGACCTCTGACAGTTTCGCTGAGGGATCATTGCGTGCGAAGGAGTGCCTTGCATTGGCGCCAATCCGGGCTCAATCCAGCGAGGATGATGGTGACGAACATATCGTCAGGGAAGTTTCTGTCGCTTTTCCTGGATTGATCTCTCAGGTTTCTGCAGCGGTTGATGTATGGGCCGGCCTTCTCGCCGGGAAACATCTTGATGTTGTTCAGCTGGTTGAGCAGGCGACTAAGTGTCACCGAATCTGTTGCCATGTGGCAGGTGCGCAGGTGTTCCCAGGACTGTTGCGCGGGCGCCCGCTCGTTCTTGAAGGGGCGAATGCTCAGCTGTTCTTTGGGCGACAGATTCCGGATCAGGACGGTGAAGGCCAGGAGAGATTCGTTGTAGTACTGCGACTTCTCCTGAGGTGAGCCGTTTGCTGGGAAGGGGTATGATCCGTCGTAGTACATCCAGATTTGAGCGCCCTGAGCGAGTAGTTCGAATTCGAAGCTCCACGTGTAGAAGTCTTGTCCGTCGAGGGCTTGGTAGTTCTGAGCTTCGACGTGGAGAGGAACTTGCTCTGCATTGAATCCATTGCCTCGTAATGTGTTTGTTGTGCTTGAGCAGATCCTTGAACTCCACGGTTGTCGAAGGTGAAGGATCGCTCAGATCCAGCTCCTTGAGGATCGGGAGGTCTTCAGGCGTAACTCGAGCTGTCAATGCTCATTGGCTGATGGCTCTCCAGTGCGCTGATGCGAAAAATCAGTTGCTCGAGTAGAGCTGTGTCCACGGTTGTCGTAGTAGAGGTGACGTTGGTGGAGGGTTGCACTGGATTCTCTCCAGCTTCTCCGCAGTCTGCACCTGGCATATTGATGCCCTTGGTGTCAAACTCATACACTAGAGTATGTGTAGGCTGTAGTGGGGTAGCTTATATGGGGTACAACACTTTAGGGTTTGGTACTTGTAATTCTCATGCTGCTCAGTTCAATCATTCCTCGCTTCATTTTTCTCATGGTTTCAGAGCAGGTTCCCTAGTGGGAACGCTCTCTAGGGCCCACCTCGATATTTTTTTTTCCTGCCCGGAGCGCGCTTCGCCCCTGCCCGAGTCGCGCCCCGAGTGCCCTCCCTACCGTCACGCCGCCCTTAGCGGCCCCTTGAGCCGCCCTTACGGCCCCGCGCGCCACCCATACGGCCCCTCGTGCCGCCCGTCGACCCCGCGCGCCGCCCTTGCGGCCCCTCGCGCCACCCGTCGGCCCCGCGCGCCGCCCTTGCGGCCCCGCGTGCCTCTCGTCGGCCCCGTGCGCCGCCCTTGCGGCCCCGAGCGCCTCTCGTCGGCCCCGGGCGCCACCCTTGCGGCCCCTCGCGCGCCTCTCGTCGGCCCCGTGCGCCGCCCTTGCGGCCCCTCATGCCTCTCGTCGGCCCTGCGCAGCCCCCTTGCGGCCCCTCGCGCCGCTCCTCAGCCCCGCCGCCGCCCTTGCGGCCCCTCGCGCCGCCCTTAGCGGCCCCCCTTACGGCCCCTCACGCGGCCCCTTACGGCCCGCCGTCGCCCACTACAGCAGTGGCCGCCGCCTTCCCTTGAGCAGCGGCCGCTGCCGTTGTCCTTTCAGCAGCGCCCGCCGAAGTCTCTGCAGCAGCAGCCGCCGCCGTCGTCCCTGCAGCAGCAGCTGCCACTGTCCCTGCAGCAGCCGAGCCGCCCGAGCCGCCGAGCCGCCCGAGCTACCGAGCTGTCGCTCCCGCCGAGCCGCCCGAGCCGCCGAGTCGCCGAGCCACCGAGCTGCTGTTGCTGCCGAGCCGCCGAGCCGTCCGAGCCGCCCTGTCCGCTACACCCGGTCACTGCCGTCGCCGCCTTGTTCCTACCGGCGAGCCTCGGTCCTTCTCGCCTGCACGGTAAGAGCAGCACCTCTACCAGTGCACTGCCCTTAGCCTACTGCTCGTGCTGCTAGTCTACTCCTGTCATGGCTACCCCCAGTGTCCTTGCTTTTGACGCTGAGGGTCGGGCCATTGACTTTGACGTCTGGGTAGATGACCTGCAGCTTTTCCTACACTGCAATAGGGCAGACGGTCTCTCCCTCTTTGACCTCACTTCTGGTGCCTCTCCTGCCCCTACTGCTGATGCTGACGCCACTGTTCGCTCACAGTGGGCCACACGCGATGCTGCTGCACGTCTTGCTGTGCGTCGCCACTTGCCTACCTCTGAGCGTGCACACTTTAGCCAGTACAAGAGCGCTAGGACCTTGTACGACGCTGTAGTTGCACGCTACTCTTCCCCTGCCACTGCTGCACTTAGCCGCCTCATCCTGCCGTACCTCTTCCCTGACCTCGCAGCTTTTCCCACAGTCGCTGACCTCATTACGCCCCTTCGCACTAGTGACATTCGCTACCACGCTGCCCTTCCCGCTGAGTTCTGCGCCAAGAACCCCCCCTCCTATGTACATAACCCTCTACTACATAGTCACCCGACTCCCTGACACCCTTCGCCCGGTCAGGAACCACTTTCTCTCTGTTTGCCCCACCACCCTCACCGTTGACCTCCTCGAGGAGCGCCTCCTAGCGGCAGAGAAGAGTATAGTCGCTGTAGGAGCCTCTCGTGGTGACCCTCGTGCCCCTGTCTTTGAGGGGTGCTCCCCCTCTCCCGTCTTGCCCTCTGTTGCCTCTGCTGCTGTGGCCGACCTCGTTGGTCTTGAGTCGGTCGGTGCGGCATCTACCCCTAGCGGGAGACGCCGCACTAGCAAGGTCAAGGGGGGCAAGGGAGCTGGAGGAGCTAGCGGGGGCGGTGGCGGCGGCGGTGGAGGCGGTGGAGGGGGTAGGGGTGGCGGTGGGGGTGGGGGCGTCAGTGGCGGCAGTAAAGGCGGCGGCGGCGGTGGCGGTGGGAGCGGAGGTGGCGGAGGTGGCGGCCGTGGAGGAGGTAGCGGCGGAGGAGGTGGAGCTGGTCGGGGTGGCGCTGCGCAGAGGGTCGGCTCCGGTGGTGGTCCGCGCCAGCAGCAGCAGCAACAGCAGCAGCGCACCCGTGAGATCCCTCCCCCTCAGCAGCTTCGTGAGTGGTACGCTGCACGTCAGCGAGGTGGGGGTGCTGGTCCGTGTACCTACGTCCTGCGCACTGGCGATCGCGCGGGTGAGCCGTGCGGGGGTTCGCACTCCACCCAGCGCTGCTTTGGCCGCCTGACGGACGCTTGGCGTCACCAGTTCCCTAAGGCTACTGAGATCCCTCGCTGGGACGAGCTGTCTAGGGCGGGGGTTCCTATCTTTGATCTTGACTATGATGCTATTCTTGCTGCCATGAATGATGTGACTAATAGTGATGAGGGTGACTGTTACCGGTGTTTTCCGCCCGACCTGGGCATTGGTACTACTGCTCTAGGTACTGGTGAGGCTGCTGCTCTAGGTGCTGGTGAGGCTGCTGCTCTAGGTGCCAGTGAGTCTTCTTCCTCAGGTGCTCGTGAGTCTGCTCTCTCAGGTACTACGTCGGCTTCGGCCTCCCACACCTTTACCCTTGACTCAGAGGCTTCTCGCTCCTTCTTTTGAGACTGCACCACACTCACGCCGCTCAGTCGTGTCAAACATTGTATGTTGTACTTGTTTAGGCTACAGTGGGTTAGCGTATAGTGGGTACACATTTCTAGGGTTAGGTTTGACCTATTTGTACCCAACCCTCATTCTAGTCATTCATTCTCGTTTCTCATTCTGACATGGTATTACGAGCCTAGGTTTCACCTAGGACCGAAACGTTAGGGCCCACCGTTTCCGCTAGCCGCGCCCTCGTGCGCCGCCTTTTCCTGTGCCTCGAGCGCCTCGTTCTTAAGGCCCCCTAAGGCCCTCTCGCGTCGCCCCTTAAGGCCCTTCACGGCCCCTCGCGTCGCCCTCTTAAGGCCCCTTACGGCCCCGCGCTAGCCTCTCAAGGCCCCGTGTGGCCCCGCGCTAGCCTCTCACGGCCCCCGATCGGCCCCACGCTAGCCTCTCACGGCCCCCTCAGGCCCCGCGCTAGCACCCTAAGGCCCCCGTCGGCCCGCGCTAGCCTCTCACGGCCCCCGAACGGCCCCGCGCTAGCCCCGAATGGCCCCGTGCGGCCCCCGCGCTAGCCTCTCACGGCCCCCCTCGGCCCCGCGCTAGCCCCCTAAGGCCCCCATCGGCCCCGCGCTAGCCTCTCACGGCCCTCGAACGGCCCCGCGCTAGCCCCGAACGGCCCCCGACCGGCCTCGCCCTCGCCCTGGACGGCCCCGCGCTCTCCCTTAGCAGCCCCACCCGGCCCCGCGCTCGTCCCTCTAGGACCGAGCCGAACCGCGCGACCCGACCGAGCCGCGCGACCCGACCAAGCCGCGCCGCCCTAGCCGAGCCGCGCCGCCCTAGCCGAGCCGCGCCACCCAAGCCGAGTCGCGCCGCCCTACTGCTTCTACCACTGCTGCTACTGCTACTCCTGCTACTACTACTGCTGCCACTGCTACTGTTTCAGCTATGGCTAGCCCTACAGTTCTCTCGTTCGATACTGAGGGCCGCCCGATTAAGTTTGAGACCTGGCTCGATGATCTGCACCTGTTCCTCCAGCTCACTGCCAGAGAGGATATCTCGCTGTACGATCACGCACTAGGCACAGTCCCTGCTCCTGCTACTACTGCTGCCGCTACTGCTCGCTCGCAGTGGCAGACTCGCGATGCCCACGCCCGCTTTGCTATTCGCAACTCCCTGCCAGTCGATGAGCGCGAGCACTTTGGCCAGCATCAGACTGCGCAGGCCCTGTACACTGCTGTAGTTGCGCGCTACTCCTCCCCGGCCCAGCTGCACTAGGCCGTCTCTCCCTTCCCTACCTGTTCCCGGACCTGTCCGCCTTCCAGACAGTCGCTGACCTCATCACTCACCTCCGTACTAGTGATGCCCGCTTCCGTGCAGCCATGCCCGCTGAGTTTCTTGCCTCCAACCCTCCCCCGCTCTAGCTCACTCTCTACCACCTAGTCACCCGCCTCCCTGACACTCTGCGTACAGTCAGGGACCACTTCCTAGCTCGCTGCCCCACTGAGCTCACCATTGCCGCCCTAGAGAAGGAACTACTTGCAGCTGAGAAGAGTATTGTAGCTGTAGGTGCCTCTCGTGGCGACCCCCGCACCCCTTTCTTCGAGGGGTGTTCCCCCTCCCCCCTGCTCCCCTCTGTCGCCTCTGCTGCTGCTGTCGACCTTCTTGGTGCTGAGCAGGTCGGCTCTGCGTCCGCTCCCAGCGGGCGCCGCAGCGGCAAGGGCAGGGGAGGCAATGGCGGTGGGGGTGACGGCGGGGGAGGCGGTGGTGGGGGTGGTGGCAGCGGTGGAGGCGGTGGCGGGGCTGGAGGGGCTAGTGGCAGCGGTGGGGGTGGTGGAGGCAGCGGCGGCGGCGGTGGCCGGGGTGGGGGCGGTGGTGGTGGCGGCAGTGGACGTGGCGGCGGCAGGGGCGGTGGTGGTCGTGGTGGAGGCGGCGGTGGTGGTCGTGGAGGCTCTGGCACTGGCCAGAGTGCGCAGCACCCTCACTCCTCCCAGGAGCTTCGTGAGTGGTACTTTCAGCACGGGGGTGGGGGGGGGTAGCCTTAGCTGCACGTACGTCATCCGCACTGGTCGCCGCAAGGGACAGACGTGCGGGAGGGTGCACACTGCGCAGCGCTGCTTCTCTCGCCTAGATGATGCTTGGCGTGCTCAGTTTCCTGACGCTCCTGAGCTCCCTCAGTGGGCTGATCTCCTCAAGAAGGATATCGATATCTATGCTCTTGATTTTGATGTTATTCTCAAAGCAATGTATGCATTGACTATTAGTGGAGAGGAGGACCAGTACCTGAGTGTTCCGCCTGACCCAGGCATCCGCACGAGTGAGGCTGCCGCCCTAGGTGCTTGCGTGTCTGCTGCCCCAGGTGCTGGTGAGGCTACTGCTCTAGGTGCTTGTGTGTCCGCCACCCCAGGTACTACTGAGTCCACTGAGGCACTGCACACCTTCACTCTAGACTCAGGCGCTTCGCGCTGTTTCTTTCGTGACCGCACTGCTCTTGAGCCCCTTGCTCGACCAGTCGCCGTCTCGCTCGCTGACCCCTCTGGGGGTCCGGTCATTGCGACCTCCTCCACTGTCCTTCCTTGTCCTGCTGTCCCGTCGGGCACACTGTCAGGTCTCCACCTCCCCTCGTTCTCTACGAACTTGGTGGCGGGTTGTGCGCTTCAGGATGGGGGTGTTCACCAGTTCACCCCTGCCTACGAGCGCGTGACACACTGCACGTGTGCTCGGACGGGCCGTAACCTGGCTACCTTCACTCGGCAGCCGGGCTCGGACCTGTACACACTCACCACTGAGTCCCCTCAGGTAGCGGCGTCTGCGTCTGCGTCAGGTCAGCTGTCTGCCCCCTGCTCGTGTCGCTCTCTAGCGCACAAGACTGTCCTCTGGCACCACCGACTTGGTCACCCGTCAGTGCAGCGCCTTCGGGGCATGCACGCCCGGTACCTTGTCTCTGGTCTTCCTCGGGTACTCCCTCCCCTCCCACCCTCCCTTGCTCCTCCTTGTCTTCCCTGTGTCGAGGGGCGGCAGCGCGCTGCCCCTCACTCCTCCTCGTTCCCCCCGACGACTGCTCCTTTGCAGACGCTCCACATGGACGTGTGGGGCCCAGCCCGCGTCCGTGGTCAGGGCCAGGAGAGGTACTTCTTGATCGTCGTTGACGACTACTCGCGCTACACCACGGTCTTCCCCTTGCACACCAAGGGTGAAGTCCCTGATGTTCTGATCCCTTGGATCAGCAGAGCACGTCTTCAGCTGCGAGAGCGTTTTCGCTCGGAGTTTCCGGTCCTGCGCTTGCACTCTGACAGAGGTGGTGAGTTCTCCTCCGACCTCTTGGCAGCCTACTGTGCCGAGCACGTCATTCGCCAGTCGTTCACGCTTCCGGCCTCTCCACAGCAGAATGGGGTTGCTGAGCGCCGCATTGGCTTGGTCATGGAGGTCGCTCGTACCTCCTTAGTCCACGCGGCTGCCCCCCACTTTCTGTGGCCGTTTGCGGTCCGGTACGCTGCGCATCAGCTCAACCTCTGGCCCCGTGTCTCCACTCCGGAGACCTCGCCCACACTGCTGTGGACGGGGGAGGTTGGCGATGCGTCACGCTTCCGTGTCTGGGGATCCCGATCTTTTGTTCGCGACACGTCTGCGGACAAGCTCTCCTCCCGCACTGCTCCGTGTGTCTTTCTTGGCTTTGTCCCGGATGCGTCTGGCTGGCAGTTTTACCACCCCGCCTCGCACCGCGTCTTCCCCTCTCAGGACGTCACTTTTGACGAGTCCGTGCCCTTCTACCGCCTCTTCCCCTACCGCACTGCCCCGCTCCCTCCCCCGCCTCTCTTCCTCGCGCCAGGTGCTGCAGTGGTAGACCCCCTCCCCCCTCAGGGTGCCGCTCCCTCAGGTGTCTCTCAGATAGACCCGGTTGAGCCTGCCGAGGTAGCTGTCGACTCGCGTCCTGCTAGAGGTTCTGAGCCTGAGCGTGCGGAGCCTGAGCGGGCGGAGCCTGGGGGTGCTGAGTCTGGGGGTGCTGAGACTGGGGGTGCTGAGACTGGGGGTGCTGAGCCTGGGGGTGCTGGGTCTAGGGGTACTGAGACTGGGGGTGCTGAGCCTGGGGGTGCTGGGTCTGAGGGTACTGAGCCTGGCGTTGCTGAGTCTGGGGGTGCTGAGCCTGGTGGTGTTGCAGTTGACTGTGAGGCGCCTGGAGGACTTCCCTCTTCGCAGCAGCTACGTGAGTGGTACTCACGGTACTGCAGCCTCCGGCGGGGTTCGTCTCGGGCTCGTGGTGCTACTGGAGTTGGTACTCGTGTTTCCCCACCACGGCGGGAGCCGCCCTCTTCCCCACAGCTTCGAGAGTGGTACGCTCGGCACATCAGTCTCCGGAGTGGAGCTGCTGGTGCTGGGGTCCCCTGAGTTGACGCTGCTGCGGGTGCTGCGGACCCTGGTGCTGGAGGTGCTGCTGCTGCTGGCGGTGCTGCTGGAGGTGCTGCTCGTACTGAGGACCCGGGTGTTGGAGCTGCTGCGGGTGCTGCGGACCCTGGTGCTGGAGGTGCTGCTACTGCTGGAGGTGCTGCTGGTGCTTCTGGAGGTGCTGCTGCTGCCGCTGGAGTGGAGGACCCGGAGGGTGGAGCTTCTGCTGGTGCTGAGGACCCTGCCGCTGGTGTCTCTGCTGGTTCGAGAGTTGCTGCACGGCCACGGCCGTACTTCGTTCCGCTCCTTCAGCAGGTTCTTGGTCAGCGTCCTCCTCCTTGTCCTCCTCTCGCCTTAGAGTGTCCGCCGTCTGTCCAGTCACAGCCACAGTTACCGCCTGCCTCCCCACTCCCTGTGCCTACTCCTTACACTGGTCCGACTGGAGGTCTTGCTGAGAGACGTGAGCCTGCGTCACGTCCTGTGTCACCTGCGTCTCGTCGAGGGTCGCCTGTTCGTGCTGCTACCACTGGTAGTCGTGTCCAGAGTCAGCGTCCTCCTGCTGTCCCAGGCACTCACCAGATGGCGCTTCGTCAGTCCACTACTCCGCAGCGTGTCGCTCTCCCGTCGCCTCCTGCGTC